GTGCTGTTGTAAAACGATTCACGTATTAATCGGGGCATCGGTGATTAGGACGAGCGAATCCGTCCGAACCCGCGAAGATTGGCTCGGAAAATCACGGCGAGCCGAAGCGCCCGGGACCGTCGTGGTCGGCCGAGGACGAGATCGAGTGTGGTACGTAAAATTCGATAAGGAAGAGAAAAAAGGGAGTGCGGGAGAAAAGGAAAAGGACGCTCCTAGACGGAGCCCGGCATCCTACCTGCCGGACCGCCATCCAGCATCCCGACATCTCGTGAGATCAGAACTTAAGGCAATTGCGTCTCGGCGCACTGATACAACAAAGGGCATCATCTAACGCGGTTATACCTCGTAAGCGAAACTCTATTGCTATATCCCATCCTATATTGGCCGTCTCAGAGAACCCACCTTCATCTATCCTCCCTGCTTCCCTCGTTCCTCTTCCGTCTCCTCCGCCGCCCGCCCCCTCGTCGTCCAAGCTCCTTCAACCCTTATCGGTCTATTACTTCCTCTCTCTTTCCGCCGTTCCGTCTCTATCAATACCGACCTAATCTACTTTGCCGGCAAATAGTGTTCGCCTTCCTCAGACAATGTAACCCCTTAGAAACCACCCCCCGCGCTGTCCCCCCTCCGTTCTCCCCCTGCCTGCGCTTATATCTGTTCGAAACAAACCCGCGTTTTGAGCCCCGCCGCCACCTACTCATCCCCCCTCGCGATTCGCCCGCGAGCGGAAAGTGCGATCATCGCGCGTCCGCTCGAATTAATTCGGGGGCGCGAGTAATTTTCTCGTTTCGCCGTATAGAGCGGAGAACCGGCTGAGAATAATTGGCCGATGATCTGATTAGTATGGTGGTTCCTACGGCGAACTACGGTGTGTGGGAGAATTAAGAGGAAGAGGATTAATTACTATTTGCCGGGTCTGAGACTGAAAGAATGACCGTGGCTCGGGGGTGGGCGCGGGAATTCGAAGAAACACGCGGAAGGACTGCCGACGAACCTGATATTTCAGGCAGTTTCAGGCCCGGGGGAAACGAACTGAAACGCGTCGGCGAATCCCCGATGGACGCTAACTCGGAGGCCGATTTGAGCACTCCTCCATCCCCGCGGAAGAGCCTAAAATAAATCCGATTCGCAAGATTTTCGTCGGTTCTGACAGCGCGAGTGGCGATGTTCGTAATCGAATGCATATCATCGGTCGGATTCGCGATGTCGGCGAGAACACCGCCGGCGCGATTTCGGCGCGGCTGAAAATACGCGGCGGCTGTAACAACGTTTCCCCGATTGAGAGGTTTTCCTCGACACGTGTGTACCCATCCGTGCGCCCACGCGTGCTCGCGTGATTTAGAAGCGGGAAGCGCTTCGATCGCCGAACGATACGTTGCATCTCATCCACGCGAGCCCCACATCGCGGCCGCCGCGCCCGCCCCGAGCTTCATCACTTATTCATTGCTACGTTAATTCGTCTAATGGAAACGTTAAGAGGAGCGCGCGCGGGAGCGATCTTACATAATGCGGCCGTCGGTTTACATAATGTCGCAGGCCGCTGCGTGCGTGCGTGAGCAAACAGCTCGGCCGTTGCATCGCGTTGTTTTACGTGCCATCGGCGATTCGCGGCTGAAACGCGCGCGCCCATCTCTGTTCCGCACAGCGACGCGTCGCGTCGCGTCGCCGCGGATGGACGCTCGGCTCTCTCTCCTCCTCTCTGTCTCTCTCGCGCGCATTGCTTGTAATTTAGTAATGAATACGTACGTACCGCGCGTACGTGAAGTGGTGGCGGGCCGCTGATATGTAGGCGCGTAACATCTGGCGGCCTATGAAATGCAGGCACGGCCGAACGAACGGCCTGCAGCTGAACGTTACGACCGACGAGAGTTATGAGCCCCGACTCAATCTCCGGCCCACCCCGATATAATTGCGATACTAAAGCTCCCCCCCCCCTTCCTCTAGCGCGGACCGAACTTTGGGAACACGTAAGAGCGCACTTTCGAGTAGCGCGCGTCATCGGGACGATCTCGGGACGTCTTAGTGTTACCTGGGATACGCGGAGGGAAGTCGTCTCGAACGATGACGATTCGATTGTATCGGACGAAATGAGATACACGCAGGGAGATTTGGGTAGAGCTCTCAGTAGGGGATCATTGTGAGGACGAGACGGCGAAAATCGGGAAGGGAGCTTTTTCCGAGATTTTTTCGAAGAAACCGATCCTGATTGCGCAGGATTCACATTCCGTTTGATGCGAACGCAGCGCGAAATGATGCGAACAATCTCTCGTTTATACGGTCGCAAAATCGTCGAGAGATTATCTCGTGTCGCGCAACTATTTTTATAAATACCAAACTGCGCGACCGCACAGAACACGACAACTATTTTATCACCGGGTGTTCATTGTGGCGTTAAATTAAAAAAAAAATATTCTCTCCCGCAGACCGTGATATGCGACACTTGAACAGTTTTATATAACGCGGTACGTATATGCTTTTTTTTTCTTCTCTCTATCGTGTACAAGGAAGACGACGCGTGTAAAAGATCGATTGATGCGCCGCACCTCTGTGCGACGCCAGCCTGCCGTGAGAATCGAGCGTGTCGCACGAGCGAACGTGCGACTTAACATAATAAAATTCGAGCCGTACCACAATATCGCCATTGTGTGTCACGAAATATCGGCGCAAAATGGACCTATCGTGTCGGGCACAACGATCGAGCCGACAATTATCTTTTACCCGATTCTGTCCTTCACTCCGAACGCGATTGAAAAAAAAAAACGACGTCACTAATCACACGACGCTCTGTTCGTTCAACGCTCCCCCCTCTCTCTCTCTCTCTCTTTCTCTCTCTCTCTCTCTCGATGTGTGTTGATCACACGGAAAAATGCCGCGACACGACAGCGCAAACGTTGTACAACTATGCATTTCCACGTGACGCGTAAAGCCAAACATCGTAAGCAAACACACAAGCATATCGCGACCATTACGTACCTTAATTGAGGTACCGCGTAAATGATCGTTCGGTACTCCATTCCGCGCTCTCGATGCGTGACTACCGCGCGTTACACCGTCCGTTAATAATGTAAATAACGTGAAATATGGGAAAACCGTTTCGCCGAATATACCGGAATCGACGTGCACGCACGTCGCTGGCGCGGTTGGATTTTAAATAAAATGTCCTCCGCTTCTCTTTGTTCCGCTTTTCTCCCCCGTTTCCCTTCCGAATTGCTCCGCTTCTTTTCTGCGACGCCTCCCTCCCCTCCTCTCCCCCTGATAAAAGCGAGAATCAAATTTGCGGTCCCGCGGATTCGTTCAATTAAAATGGATTGAGAAATGTCACAGGTCGGACGACAGCGCGTTTCGCGAAACCTCGCGCCATCTCTCGAATAATGCCGATCCGACTCGGTGAGGGACGAAGATAGTCTCATTTCTGACCGAGAGACTTTATTTTAAGTAATTTCACCGACCGACTAAAGAGATATCTTCACGCAGCTTCACGAGAGGTCCAGAAATAATCGCGATATCGCCAGCGATTCGAGCGTTTGAATACGAATATTCGGGACGTCTTAGATTATTTGAATTTCGTATGATCCTTCAGCCAATAAACTGACGGTAGGACATTATCAATATTATCATCTGAATTCATTGCACCGTAATGATGCTGGAACACAGCTTTGCCGCTCAAAAAGCGAGAGAAGATAATAAATGTTCGCAAACGAACGCGTCGTTTATGCAGTAACGCGTTAAACTATGCAGGAGTTGTACTACATAACGGAAAATCTTGTGTTGGGAACGAAATTTCAGTGCGAAATTTCGTATTATTTTGACACGGGGAATGTGTTGAAAAATACACAAATATAATGTTCACATTCGCCTTGTGTAACATATGTTGATAATGAGAATATGTTTGTTGTAATTTTGTGTACCTCTTAATATGTATTTGTGTATTTTTTAAAACATTCCTCATGTTAAAATAACGCAAAATTGCTCACTGCGTATGGATAAAAAGATATTTAAATAATATAAAAATTCTTCTAATGAGTAATTAAGTAATAAAAAAAAATATTTAAAAAAATGAAAATATGTGAAGAAGAACGCGAGTATCGCGGTTCGATATCCGTATCGCGTGGCGCCATCTATCGTACGTTGACCGAATTTATTAACTAACCTAATGCCGTTGGAATACCGACGATTCGAAATAACTGCAGAGTGCCGTCTGCCGACTTTTCCGACCATCCCACGCAAATAACTGGATGGTCAGCTTATGATAAGGCATATTAATTCTGTTATTTATCATCTCATATTACTCTAGACGTTCGCATCTCATCTCAATTTACGCAAAAGTCGCGTAGAAGGAGAGGAAGAAGGAGAGAAAAAGAGAGAGGAGGAAAGAAAGACGCGTGAAAGATGTTGTAGTTTTTGGCTTTTAGGTGCTCACCGATATTTCCTTCTGACTAACAGCACGAGTAACAGCTTCAGATTGTTCCCTTCCCCGCAGAAGCGAAGTCGAGTGCCCACGAAACAACAAACAAATCCACGAAGGACGCGGCGCCAAGCCGGAATCCAGACTCCGCCGGATTCCAAAGCGTTTCTCCGCGTCGCGTAAGCCTGAAATATCAAACATGTATATGTAATCTCCGATGATTCCCTGTTTTCATATCGCAAACATAAATAGACACGAGTAGGGAACTTACATGATTGAAATGGAAAATCGTGGGCCGAAGTGGGAAGGCTTGGAAAGGGTTTCGCGTCGCGCAGATTCTAACGATACACTGCCTTGCGCAGTGAACCAGTGTTGCCAACGCGAAACTTTAAAATCAGCTGTATGCCCGTGTAAATAAGCCAGAATATAAGCTAAAAGTAGAAAGTGTGTGTACGCCCTGGTGCAGGCATGCGCGCGAGCCAAGAAAACAAATTTTTAGAATTCCTCAGTAGGCGATATTTTAGATTCGTTAAAAAATCGTTAAACAAGCTACCTAGCTATTCGTCGATTTTCTAAAAATATCCAAATAAATGGTTAAGTAGCTAAAGTACATTTTTGGTAGCTGGATAAAAAATAATTAATAAATCAGATCTTGCTCAGATTTGAAAATGGCTGATCTGGCAATATTGATGATAGAGTAAATATTTCATCGAGCATGCGTACACCGACCCAACAACTATTCCAGAACATTTCTGTTCTTTCTTTTACCCCCTCCATTACCTAATCCAACCTAACTTGTTATTGACGTGAGACACGTGTGACCGCGGTCTATCTCACTCCTGTTCGTCGTAGATCCTAGGACGGACCACGTTGTCGAGTTCGTTACCGAATTTATATAAAATATCTGCTTATAATCAGGGAAAGTGTTTCCTAACTACATATGGTGCAAGCCTAGATCATCCGTGTAAGTTTCGACACACAAATGAATCGAATCCGCTTAACCTTTATAACCTTGTCCTGTAACGTCGCTTCTTTCACAGGTTTGCACTGTCCTGTAAATATTGACGAAGAGGGGAATTATCGAGTCGCAATTGTGCGTGGTCATCGATCACACCTTCTAGAACGATGGATTCGAAAGTGTGCAAGAAGGATCCCCTGCAAGCTGTCGTTCTCACAGACGACTTCACGACGAGCATGACTCCTTTGCAAAAATTGTACCCGAGTATCTTGATGCCTGTGATAAGCAGACCGCTCCTTGATTACATGATGGAGACCCTGGAAAGGTCGAAGGTCGAAGAGATATTTCTCTATTGCAGCAGTCACGTGGACTCGCTGAAGGAATATGTGGAACATGCGAAGAAGAAGTTCCACCGTATCGCAATCTCTCTGATTGTCTCGGATGACTGCAGATGTCTCGGAGATGCTCTGAGAGATATCTATGGGAAAGGCTGCCTCAGAGGAAACTTCATATTGCTTCGCGGGAACGCATTCACGAATACAAATCTTCGAAATTTATTCGACTTGCATCGTTCTAAAACTGAGAAGGACAAAGGGGCGGTTATGACTATGGTACTGCGTAACGTTGGCCCCACCAAGAACACCCTCCTCGATGAGGAGACAACATTGGTTGTTTCCAACAAGACCGACGATAGGATTCTGCATTATGAGAAACTGAAGAACCATGAGAAGAAGGTGAAGATGAAGATTAGCTGGTTCCTAAATCACGACGAGGTACAAGTCAGTACGTCTTTCCTGGACACGCACGTATACATGTGCTCGCCGTCTGTCCTGTCACTCTTCGCTGACAATTTTGACTTTCAGGTATGACGGCCAATTTGCTTGCGAAACATCGAGTTTCAAGCAATTATCTTTCTCACGCGTCAATGTCGTGCATGTGTAATTGAAGAACGTCGAATTTATGTTATTCTCATATTTTTAGACTATGGATGATTTCATCCGAGGAGTGGTGAGTGACGATGTTTTGGACTCGAGTATCTATTACGAAGAATTAAACCCGGAAGACTACGCTTTAGCGATACCCTCGTGGAAGATTTATCATTTGCTAACTAAGAACGTCATGGGCAGGTACAGTTACCCTCTCACACCGGACTGTCTTCTCTCCGCAACGGACATTGTATACAGCCCGCTGAATAGCTCGTACAAACACAAAAGCGCCATTCTTTCTAAAGGCTGTCTTCTGGAGCAGAAATGCTTCATAGGACAGAATAGTACGTTGGGAGACCACACCACGGTTAATACGTCTGTAATCATGAATAATTGCGTTATAGGCAGTAACGTTCTTTTATGTGACAGTTACGTCTTCCCGAATGTCAAGATCGAAGACAACTGTACCGTCACGAACAGTATTCTGTTTCCGAATTGCGTGGTCAGAAATGACAGTAAGATAGACGAATGTATACTGTGCCCCGAGATTGAGGTCGAGGCTAACAGCAAGTACGCCGATGCCTTTGTCGAATCTCCCGGTGAATTAAGCACCACGCTGTCGGGGCTGAATGGCAAAGAGGGCTTTTACTATTTCAAGAGCAACGTAGGGGTCGAGAGTGACGACAGTTCGACCGAGTCGTCGAGCACCGAGTGTTGCAACCCGGTGGACGACACGAATATGTTTCTGTCCGAGGTGATTGACAGTTTGTTACGCGGCTATCAGGACAAGTTGAAATGCGAACACTTGATCCTCGAGATCAATTCGTCGCGATACGCTTACAACGTCTCTGTCCGTGAGGTGACGTACAACGTCGTCAAAGGGATCCTGCTTCTGCCGTTGCATTATCTCGCCGAGATCAATGAACCGGTCAGCAATAAGAGCTACCAGAAGCACTTGAAAGCTGTTATATCTTACTTCAAGCCGATCATTCGGAATTACGTTAAGAACACGGACGCACAGGATGACTGCCTGCACGCGATAGAGGACGTTGCAAGCACGACCGACGAAACGCTGCCGTGTACGTTGTTCCTTTTGCACGACTTCTACGATTGTGACATATTGTCGGAGGAAAAGATCTTGGAATGGTACGAGTCCGAGGTCGAGGACCTGGACGTGCGCCGAAAGAAAGTTAGGGACGCCGTTAAGTCTTTCGCAATATGGCTGCGAGAGGCGGAGGAGGATTCCTCCGATAATGGCGATTCCTAATCGCTCTCTCTCTCTCTCTCTCTCTCTCTTTACTATGTGTGTAACAATATGTCAGGAAACATTTTGTAATTCTCTTCGGAAAGTTCCAGCATTTTTACGAAACCGTCGAGAACCGATAAATCTATCGACACGCGATGTTCGAAATAATATCGCGCGCATCTCTCGGCCGGGACGGTATTAGAATCGGATGGGAAAATTTTACATACACGTATATCACGCTTAGCGAGCGTGTCGATATATTTATCAGTGATACATTTAATCCGTGTGAAATAGACTGACATATTTGGTTAATATGTAACGTGCGTCATTTGGATTCGTAGTTCATCGGCGGATGAAATCTTATATGGATCAGGCGAGTTTCATTTCTGAATTCTTAAAATATGAGTATCGTAACACGTTGATTGTCGAGCGATAATATTCTAATAGGGGAGACCGGCAGCTGAATTCCTGGCATTACACACTCGGCATTGTTAGGGCATATCGAGCTCGTTGTCATTCGATTAAAGGGCCATCGTATAATTCTCGTATAATAATCGCTAGACGAAAACTGGCCCGTGTCCCATACACGCTATTCTATGCCGACAACCATAGACTCGGTATGGGTCGCGGCTATTTTTTATTAGTTACTTATCAGTTACAGTTCTGCGGAATAACATCTCCGAAGATGGCGATGAATTTGTATTCGGAAATAAAACAATCTAAATGAGAGCAAACTATTGTATCGAAGTTTTTGATACCACGATTTGAGATGAATCAATTGTGCCGAATAAAGGAGAAAAGATCGGGAACTAAAAATTGAAATCAATGTCCATTAATTCCACGTGCAATCAGAATATCTATCCAATAACTAAATAATCTGACCGTGTTCTCGTTAGGAATATTTTCTGTGTAAAAAGGAATCGATATCTTTATCAGAAATTTCATAAGTTTGAGTAATTTTTCATCCAAAGAATTCTATCGAATTCGCCTCTGTGTATATTTTTTCTTATATTTAATAGAGAATTGTATTTTGAGTTTTGAAAATAATCGACAAAAATAGGGAAACTACAGGATTCTCCTGTGGTAGGGCATCCTGTATGAAAACTTGATCGTTTATAAAATGTTAATGGTTTGCATAAAATATAAACTGTTTCATCAGTGATATTTTGGTAACGAAAGCTGTGATTTTCTTGTATGTTTATAATGTAGATTATTAGTCAATTTTATACAATAGTTTCTCTGAATATATATTCAATAAGTAACGTATGAATAAATGATGTGTGAAAAGTTTTTATAGGTGATATACTAAACAATTAATAACAACTTTAATCACTTTTAATTAATTAAAAAAGGGATATAATCGCGTTCTAATCTTCCTCGTTAACTATTCGTTCATATAAACTGTCTTGCTCCGCATGCGAAGCTGTAGATTTCAATTTATCGAAATTCGCTTCGAATTTCTCACTCAGAAGTCCATTTTCATCGGCATATTCCAATATATCACAGATCAATGGTGATTCAACTCCTAGAACGTATTCACAAGTTTTTGGTTCCAACAAAAATAATGATACACTAGATGGGCTCGCCGTGTGGTTCTCCACGCATTTCAGTTTTACCTAAAATATACGGGAACAGAGATGATTCGGGAAATATATAAAAATATGTTTTCTTCTTGTGACACTTCGTATGAGCCAACCAAAGTGTATCAAAGTTGGAAATAAAAATCAAGTTATCTGCTTTCAAATCAATGGTATCTTTGCGACTCAAAACGACTACGCTTACTTCAGTTTGCCTGGGAGTTCCAGTCTTATCACAGTTACTGCCATCGCTGTAAAAGTGTGAGAGATGTTTCCTTAACTCTAGCGACTTGGGTTTTTTGTGCGGATGCGTAGCTATCCACTCCAAATGTTTCTCTTTGTCGAATCTACCAAGATTAATAATCGTCTTTGTACCGTCCTTTTCTATGTGATACTGGGCGACGGAACGTCCGTAGCAGAACTCATACTTCCACCAACTGTTGCCCTAATAACGCATCGAAACCGTTAGTGCTACGATGCAGTCACTGATCGAAATAAAACAAACTATAACCACGAAGTACTTGCCCCGTGCAGGCAGTTTTTCCCACTGAGGAAATTCTGTATGGGGCTAACTTCGGCAGGACTGATACTCTGATCAGTCAACGCGTTGATAGATTCATCAATATTGCCGTGCTTGTCTGTAACATCCAACGGATGTATCTCAACTCTTACCCTCGGCTCACCATCCTGTAACCAATTACAATAGATCCAATAAAGAAAGTCACACAAGCGTATAATTTATAATTTACAAAGAAAGATTCTGATTCCGTATCTTCAAATCTGAGACTCTAGTGACTTCTAGCTGTTACCCAAACTGAAGATGTCAAAGAGTACGAGGTGAAGACACGGAGAAAATCAAAACCAACGCGATGAAACACTAATTAGCGATCACGAAAAGTGATTGTGATAAATGCTTTCGGCGGTAGAAGGATCAATATTTCGGCGGAACAAATATGTCGAGTCGGAAGGAACCTACTATGAAAGGAATCAGGTTTTCAACTTAAAAAATGAGTTAGTCTTTTTTTCAGCTACAGATCGAGTATTTTTTAAATTGAAGCCAACGTAAGCCTCGCACAGGAACCTTTGCTAGTCCTTACAAAGTCTCTACTTGTAATGCATAATAGACTCGTTAATTCAATTTTGTATTAACAATATTAACATCGATAAAACAGTAATGGGTGAAGCGTTCAAATATGTAGATAAAGAAGGGACAGAATGGAAAGATAATTGTACAAGCAATGATACTTGATAATGATCGCCACAAGCGTTAATTTTGTTTCCTATATATGCAAAATATTCTAACCTGGCCCTCCTTATCTACATGGATAATTGCATACACTTTCTGCTGCTTCTCATCCTGTGTGAAAAATAATTAAGGCAGTAAATAAATAGTAAACAAACTGGAATGAGAAAAAGAAATTATACATTCGTCGGTGCCTAAAAAGAAAAGTTCTAAGGAATGCACCAAAGAATAATTCCAAATAATAAATATACCAGTGATAGAAGCAGGTTTCTATTACTTTATGAGATTTCCAAAAGACACAATCATGTTGTCATGTTTAATTGTGCAACATAACATGCGCTACTAATACATTAGAACAGAATACATTAGAATAGAATGCTTTAAAACGATAAAAATTTTGAAAATAATTACACTAAATGAACAAATCTAAATGAACAATATACAGGGTGTTAAACAAGCAAAAAAATTTTAACATCGATTCATAAAAGTAAAAGCTTAAACAAGATAGATTAAAAATTAAATATTAAATATAAATATTAAATACAAGGATAAATTAAGAAGAGACTTGAAGATAAGTAGCTTCTATAAGTTTACCCTCGTTTGTTGATGTCGCATTTTTAGACTTTCTAATTCCATTGACATAAGTGATTTTGGCTTCTTAGGTGCATTGCCAACAGGTAAACACGTGATTTCATTTTCTCCCGTGTCTTGAGGTTTGTAATCTGGATGAGTACATAGTACCGGTGAAAGTATTATCGCTTCGTACTCGCAAGACACAGTTTCCTTGAGTGAATACACATCATGCTTTCCATGTTTATAACAGATATATAACACTTTGATACTTCTTGGTTTATTATTCAAATCGCAAATTGTCCCATCGGTCATTTCAACTTCAACGTACGGCATATTAATTCCATCAATTTTCTTAATTGGTATATTTAATTTCCTATTAGGATTCTTCGCCTGTTCGTCATAAGCTGCAGAAAGCTTCATCTTTTGTGCTTTATCCAGGGTACCAAGATAATACTCTTGCATTTTGAGTTTCTTTCCTTCTCTGTCTTCGTGGTATTGCCGAACATATCGACCGTGGCATAATTCATAGGTCCAATATGACTCCAGCTGTCACACAATGATAAATTTGAAGAGGAAAATTACACAGTAAATGATAATATATTTATCAATAAAAATGTCTATTGTAATGAAGACGAAGTCAAAAAGTTATAGTAAACTAAAAGTATATACCCTGTAAGAGCAACTGTTTTGGGCAAATATCGGTTGCAAAAGTTGTATTGGATTTGGCCCGATGTACGACTCACTGTAATCATTTTCTTGTTCTATTGTATCGGGAATTATGCACTTATATCGTTCATTATTCGCTGTAGTTATGAAATATGGCTCTACGTTTGAGTGAGATTCCTACGAAAGAAGAAATATGTATCTTCGTAGACAGTATCTCAGTAGACAGCTGTTATACAATGCTGTCAATTGCAAAAGCAGCTGTCCGATTAAACAATACAAAATAATTCGTCGCCACACTTACTAACAACTCTGTGTTGCTCTTTCCGGGCCAATTGATTTTAAATATAACTGTATCATCGAAATTCCGAAAATCGTGTGCATATGTAATAGATATCAAGATGCAAATTATGCTGTAAATAACACAAGTTCCCCGCATCTCGACTATTTTATCATGTTATGTTTTCCGCATATAGATCTATCTTAGTTTTACGTAAATGATACTTTTCTTTTCGTATAATTGCTTTCGGCTACTTACGATAGCCGACACAGCAACAATAACGATTTTGGCATACCACTTGCCGCAATTGTAAACGTAAGCATAAACTCATCGGTATGCGAGAGTGAGAGAGACGAGCAAATCTGATTTGATTTTGGGGACTTCACGCAGCGAACGAACAAACCTTCGCATTCAAGCCTACCAATAGATAGGTTCAGAAAACACAACGGATGTGCAATTGTTCAGTGATTACCGCCTTTATGGAAAATTCACATCTGACAGAAAACCAATCAGAACTCGCGCTGGTAGCAAGCGGTAGATAAAGTAGGAACTATGTCGACTATCAGCGCGAGTTCTGATTGGCTGTTGCTTTCCTGCTTTCTGCTTTTCTGTCGAGGTGTGAATTCCCTCTTAGGTTCGTTCTTTTTCATCGAACTAATGTGCACTGAGCCCTTAAAAAAAGAACAAACCACATATCTCAGTGCAGCGTGCGCTCTGTTTCAACGTGGTTTGAATATTTCTTTTCTTGATGCAATTAAAAAATACTGTCGATGTTTAATGAGATAACTTTATCCGTTGAAATTTCTAACGAAACAAGTTCTCCTGTTCATCCTTCTGCTCCCGGATATAATACAAGAGGTCGAAGTTAGCTGTCTAGTACATATAAGTGTCCATGGCCTATGTTCGCTTGTGACACTCTAGTGCAGGTAGTTTATTTGTAGAACAGTCTTTGAATATGACTGCAAACGCTCGACCGCCATTTTAGTTTGTTCACCTTCACCGTAAAGTGTAAAAGAACGATATTTGGCGAATCTAACATTGTCGTATGTTTGATTGTATTTAATCGGGACATATTTCTCTTTTTGTAGGATATAAAGTGCTTGAGATAGGAGCCGCTCGGATCGCTGCTCTCGAGTCGTCGACTGTTGCAATTTTGCGCCTGAAATCGGCCAAAGTCACACACACGCCGAAGATGGTGAGTCTCTCTTTGTTATGATCGCTGGAATAATTCCTTCACATTGTTGTTGTCTGTGATAAGTACCTTCGTACTGTATATTGCAATCTCTTTGTGCGTATGATATCTCGTAGGTTTATCTTTCATCTGTACATATAAATTTTTAACAATAACAACATACATGTTGTATGATAACCTGCATATCGTGAAATGTCTATTCTCATGTAAGAATTAACGAAACATTCGTTAAGTATCATAAATATACTAGATGTTACAAGTATCGAGGAAAATGCGATTATGAAAAATGTTCAACTTGATTTTGCAGTATTTACAATTTACTTAATCGGAAATCAGGTGTTCGCAGTGGCATTATTATATTTCTTATACAACATATTCGCTATTAATGACTGTACTTGAAGAAATTGGTGCTACGTTAGCTCATTGTACAGCATTTCCAACAGTAGGAAGATTTTATTGATGTTTTTTTTCCAACAGTTGCAAGTGGTTATAATTTTCAACACACGAACCTGTTGAACGTCATATGAGCACATATCTGTTAACACATTAAGGGCGGGAGTCATAGTACTACGATTTAGCTCGACTGCAGCTTAAAGGCGGGAGTCGTAGTAAAACAATTTAGCTCGACTGTACCTTAAAGTTTTTATGATCACACAAAATATCTCCTGCTGTTAATGTGTTAATATAAGATATTGATATTTGATATCTGGTAGAAAAGAGAAGGAAGAGAGAAGAAAGAAAAATTGCAAAGATATAGACAGAAGATGTAATATGTGCAGCTATAAAAAATTTAACCATAGGAATATTTATAGGGGCTATTATTATTTAAAATCTAAACAGAAATTCCAGAAAATTACGCTTGATAAATTATTGCCTGAGATTTTTCAGTTTATAATTACATTTATGTATATAGAGTATGCATGTATGTAAGAATTATAATCTATTATATCTCTTAAAGCTCCTGGATACTCGCTATGGCTATCCTTTGATAACAGAAGCAAAGAGAATTATGTTGTTAACTTGAGCTATTAATAGTCATAAATTAGTGTAACGTACAACTTATGTTTTTACCTATTTTGAATATTTTTTCTCATGATTCCTGTTACGTTAATTTTGCAGATATTTGTTAATTGTTTGGGCTAAAAGAAAGCGTCCGGACATTTTTATAAGTGCGCTGAATTGATCACGAGTGTTATTTTATGCGCATGTTTTTTTATTTACACATGTACTGTCACATAAATTGGCACGATTTTCCTCGCTTCTGACGTCATTAAAGGATAGCCATTGAATCTGTTTTTTGTTTCTGCATTGGCTGCGTTAGTTTGCACTAGTTCTCTTCTCATCTCTTTCTTGAGATTTAGTGGGAAAGAGAGAAAAAGAGAACCAATGCGGTCAGTGCAGGAGCAGAAAACCTATAGCAAGTATTCGGGAGCCTTAATCTTACGCTACGTTTTTTTTTTATTTTAGTCGCATACAATATTACTTGTACAGCCTGGTCACAGACCTGAAACAAGGACCTATTCGGACTATGAAAGTATTAACGAATGCATGGAAGGTAATGTTATATTATAATTTTATAATACTTTTTGAAGCATATATATATAATTTATGGATTTTCTCTCTGTAAAATATCTGATTATTTTCTGTATTTACATATATGTTAATATATACTCCAATATTAATATGATCTGTTCATTAATTGCAGGTGTTTGTAAGATATACGAAGAACATCTGAAAAGACGAAATCCAAACACACCAACCATCACCTATGACATAAGTCAATTATTTGATTTTGTTGATCAATTAACAGACTTATCATGTCTTGTATACCAAAAGTCAACCAATACCTATGCCCCATACAATAAGGATTGGATTAAAGAAAAAATATATGTATTATTGCGCAGGGCTGCAGGGCATAGCGAGTAAATAATACATGAACATAAAGAAATACGTTTAAATGGATAAGATAATTTTAAGTATACAATTCTATATTGTTACTCTTCTAATATGTAACTTATATTTTATTACTTTAACATAATTATGTCATACACTTTTCTTTTTTTGCGCATAAAATATACTGTCCATTTCGAAATTAACTTGTATATACAATATACTTTATGATAGTACTTTACGTTGTACATGATACGTATATTTTCAACATATTTATGCATAATGAGCATATGATTCATTAGCAGATGATATAATTTAGTACATTTCTATTTAGTAGTTCTTATTTCCGTTCATGTGAAAAAAAGACCGAAGAAACGATATCTATGTATAGATGATTATGTTTTATTTTTGAGAAAATCACATAGATACGTGAAACGATTCCGTTGTATTAAATACGTAATATTTTTATTCGAAGTTTATCCTATAAATATATACAACTACTTGCGTATACAATGCTTTGCAAGTTACGAACGCGTGTGCCGCTCCTCTACTGTAACAGATTTCATACTTCCGATAATTCATTACTTGTACTTGGGGTCTGTCATATTTTTTTAACTTAACGCGGGATGCGAGACGAAAAACACGAGATGAGAGCATAGAAAATTCTTTTGTAATGAATTTCTTATGTTTATATATATATTATTAATACATAATTATATTACAAAAATCTATATAAGATATATTTGGTAAATATATATGCGACAAGATTTATTTCGCTCTCATTAACTCGTATTACCGAAAAAGCTCTCAGTGTTTGTAGCTCGTGATAAAATATTCTCTCTCTCTCTCTCTTCCTCTCTCTGTCGTTCCACCCTGGGGTATTTACTCGTTAGAATGCACTCGACTTTTTCCGAGGTCTTTGTGACCTTAGCGACATCTCTACGAAACATTAGTTCGAAGACGGCCGCGAACTCTGCTCGAGTTGATCGAAAACAATTGAGACCAAAGACGTCGACAATGAGTGTCTCTACTTGTTACGTTTCTACGCCAAGGAGGTACATGTTGTGACGTGACCGGCACGTTCGGCATGCTCGCGCATCGTCAGTACTAGTATTGGTCGTACACGATTATGCCTCTCAACTGAGCTTATTTGTGATTTCTCAGCCCACTTTTTCCGCTTTCTCTCGCGACCGACGGGATGGTCAGGATAGTGCGGACGGCAAACGAAGAGGATCTGCACGCACAGATCAACAATGTTGTTTCTCACGCTGCTGATGCCGCGTTCTTACGCGGCGACAGCCTTTTCCGAATTGGAGTATCAGGTAAGGAAGAAAAAGGAAATCGCGACGCACGTATCACGTTGAATAAGTTTAGACGTAAGAAGCGTTATGCGATGCAAGTGCTTTTTTGTGTGAGGGGGGAAAGGGGGAAGGATAAGGGAGATTTCAAGGTCAAAAGTTACGCATTTTCGAATGGCATTATTAAATATGTTGTTTTAGGCTGTAGTGTACATGCGGTCACGTACTCAATAGTTAGGAAAGGGGAAGCTAATTAAGAATTACGATTTTGAAACAATGCTGAATGAACGTTTCTATTTGTTCAGGAGGCTCAATGGTGGACGTGTTAGCAACATGCTTGCCAAAGATTAAAACCGACTGGAGCAAGTGGCGCATCTTTCTCTGCGACGAGCGTATCGTGGAGGCGAATGATGAACGCACCAATCTGGCACTCTACAAGAGCAACTTCATCGGCAAAGTACCAGTTACTGAGGACCAGTTCATACAAGTTGATACTAAACTTTCCGGTATGCGATCGCCTAGTTTTATCTTGTCTCTGTTTGCCTTCTGGTGTGTCAATATGTATAGTGTCCCACATATTACGCCATTTATATATCATCTCATATACTTTCATACTTGTTACCTTTAAAGAACATGGAGAACTGTTCGGCAATATAAAATTTAGAAGAAATCAGAACCCTTGCAGATATACGAAGCAAATGGACAAATGTAACGAAGTAATTTTTTATTGATGCTCAAAGAGAGACGAATGTTCTAAACATAGGAGCGACCCCTTAAAGAAAAGATGGTAATAGTCCACAATATAGGGGAGGTAGCTCTGATCAGCCTGACCTTGACATATGTGTCACATAGGGGAAACGAATGTGAATTGCCAACTTGATCTCTTAGTGAATTTTTCACAAACAATGAATGTGAGGCTACAATCTTTCGAAGGTTAACCCGATACGCGACCTTGGCAACATGTGTCATGGTCAAGATGATTGGACCTGACTGTGCATATCTAAATATTTACACCTATGGCTTTATAGTCGAATAAACGAAAAGTTTCTTTCTTTTATAGCTGAAGATGCGGCGATGGATTACATTAAAAAGATCTCGTCGTTCTTCCCACCGGACAGATTTCCCCGATTCGACTGCCTGCTGCTAGGAGTGGGGCCCGATGGGCACACGTGCTCGCTGTTTCCGAACCATACGCGCGTTCTCGAAGAGATAAACATGTGGGTCACCTGGGAGCTGGATTCGCCGAAACCGCCGCCTTGTAGAATCAGCCTCACCTTACCGGTCATTAACAATGCCCGTCTGTGCGTTTTCATCGCCACCGGCTCCTCCAAAGCCGACATTGTGAAGGTGAGATGTTATCTATATTTCTCCTTTCTCATACATTTCGATGGTAACCTTCGCATCTTGCGTGATAAAATGAATCATAACCACTTGAAATATTATAGATTATAGATCGTTATCGAAATTATAGATTATTGCGGATTGCATATACCTATGAGTTATCAGTTTATCGCGTTTTTTTGTATCTGGTCTTTCCATGTGTAATCGTGTGTGTATTGCAGTTTTATTCCGATTAAACTATTGGTATTTGTGTTTGTGCACAGAGGATATTAGAGAACAAAGAAGATCTACCGGCTACCAGGGTACAACCGACCAATGGTCTTCTCTATTGGCTGCTCGATAAGGATGCCAGCAGTCTGCTTGATGATGACACACCGCAGCAATCCGAGACTGATAGCACAACGGCCGCAGTACCTGAAAAAGTCTAAACATAAATCTAAAAGCGGGAAGTGATCACTAGAAAAAGATGTTATGACGTTTTACATCTAAGTCACCTAAAGACACATCCTGCTATAATTCTTAATATATTTTGAACTGCTTTTTAGCAATAAGTAATGTGTGCGGTCGGATATATTATATTATATAACTATCAGAAGATAGTTTACTGAGTCTAAACTACTAAAGTAAAAATTCATATTTGTATTACGGTGAAATTGAATAATTAAACTAACATTTTCTAAAGAATTAACCTCATGGTCACTTTTTTTATTATTCAACGTTTATTAACCCTTTGAGTACTGAATTATTTGAAGATTTTTATGCCCATGGGACGGATTTAATTTGTCGCTATATGGATTAATATGTAAAAGTAATACATTTTATGCCCAAGTAAGCAGATGACGAGTCTCACTCGTCAAATGTACCGAAAGGGTTAACGGAATTTATGAATTAAAATGTATTTAAGCACAAAAAAGTCTCCCTCAACTTCTCCTTTCCTGAATTTGTCGAAAAACAAATACTTCATATCTTATCCTGTGGAAAATGTCAGGATAAAATGTAAAAATCTCGTATCGTAAATATCCACTCTTTGATCTTACCTTTTAGGAAATCGCAGAACGAGACGTAAAGATCTTTTTTAATCGGGTAGTTCTTAGAATATTAAGTTGTTAAACTTTGCGTGAGTCACCTTGTATATATATGCATATATATATGTATGTATGTATGTACGTATATATATATATTAAAATATTGACTTATCAATATACATATACATATATATATATATATATATGTGCGTGTGTGTATATTGATAAATCAATATTTTAATCTTGAAAAGTTATCTTAACACATTAAGGACGGGAGTCGTAGTACTACGATTTAGCTCGACTGCGGCTTAAAGGCGGGAGTCGTAGTAAAACAATTTAGCTCGACTGTACCTTAAAGTTTTTATGATCACACAAAATATCGCCCGCCGTTAATGTGTTAATATAAATAAAAAAATATCTTTCTACTTTTTTCTAGTGCAAAAGTAAACTTTATTACAAATAGTTATAAAAGAATAAAGAGTCTTTTCTGCTGTTTTAATTTATTAAGCACAACTGTATGCGGCAAAGAGGAGAAAAAAACATCTCAACAATATTTGTAACGTAATGAAAAACAAATCATGCGCAAAAATCTGTTGTATTATTTAAACCATGTCGCTTTTAACGAACACTGACACAGACAGGAATGATCAATAATGAAATGACACGTTAATCAAATCATATCCAGTCGTACGCGTATCCGGCGAATTTTGAATTTTTAATTCTGAATTTTTAATTTCGAATTTTTTTGCTGAACTTTCCTGAGAACGAAATCTTGTTCAAATCTTTCATTTCACAATTTTTACTTACTTTTGAACAAAAACTCACCCTTTTCGCTTGTATCACGAATTACGTCGTACCCTATATATTTATCTCTCTCACATATATGCACGTTATCGCTAATATTCATCTATACCAGGTAAATGTTTCTTTTTACGCGTAATATGGACGGATCGTTACGATTCGTAAACTCGGGAGCATAATCACAAATGGCACGAAAATCTGTAATATACATATCGGTTGTACTTCGATATTTATACATTGTTTAATAATTAATTGCGCGTGAGTGGTATCGTGACCGACAAAGCCGAAATTATCGCGTACTCATCGGGAAGAAGGTCGAATGAATTTTTTATACTCCATCGCTCGTACTGCTGCACTACGTGTGTGCTGTTTACCCCTCGTCCCGATAACGCGACAGTTAACGTTCTAACGTGCTCGTGAAAAGTGTCGCTTTTTCACTTTCCCCGCCATGTCTGCGTGCCCGTTGCAGTTAACAGAATCGTGATAACTTCGAACTTGGTCCGCAATTGAGTCAACCGATCGCCCAGCTGAAGATGAAGAAGATCAAGGCGCAAACTCTCAAAGCGACGATCGAAGAACCGAAATTGTGGAATATTCTGAAGAGACAGGCTGCCGAATTTTGTCGCGAAACTGGATTACACGGTTACAGATACATCAGTCAGACTCAACGTTCTAAGACTGAGCGGTATGTGTAGACACACTTTAATTATTCATACTAATAAACTGTTACATGATTTTTTTAAAGCTTGTTGCAAAATGTTTTATGAAAAAATTCTCTCTCTCTCTCTCTCTCTCTCTCTCTTTCTCTATACGGGATAAGCTTAAATTTTGTTGCTCGCTGAATTTGCAATAAAAACGACACTAATCAAGAATTTATTACATATTCAGGATCACGTGGGTACTGGTGGTATTTTCATCGTTGTGCTGTGCTATTATTTTAATGAAAATGACTTGGAATTATTACGCCGCCCACCCCACATTGACGGTTATCGAATCAACGCATCACGGGATCTGGAATTATCCGTTTCCCGCGATAACAGTGTGCAACATTAATCGCCTATCTTACAACTTAACTAAAGAATTCGTCGACAATCTGTGAGTATTCTTTACATACTTGATTTATAAATATAAATATATCTGTATGATAGCATAAGAAGAGAAATCCTTTCGTCTGATATTATTGCGTAGCGTTCAAGATTTTCAAGAGAACTTTCGATTTCGAGTGATGTTCGCACGGAGAAAAATAATTTTGCTATTGTAGCGAAACCATTTCGTTGCTGCCGCATGTTCGTTGCGACAACGATAAAATTTAATTAGCACGGCCAAATTGGTTAACATTTCAGTTGCATTTTTTTGCAGAAAGATACCATCCAATATCTCAAGACAATTTTTGCTCCAAGAAATGAAGCTGCTGAACGAATTAATAGTGCCGGGAGTGTTCGGTTACGATGTTAAGAAAAATCTCACCCGCCTGCAAGACATCATAGACGATAACAACTTATCGATTCTCGATGTGATGAAAGCAGTATGTATTGTCAAATATTTCTGTCGCCCCAATTATTTCGGTTGATTCTCACTTTAGGGGGGGGTATGTTTTGAACAAAACCCAAACAACAAATTATGCCTAAAAGACATCTTTACAACGTCTTAGGACGGCTTAATGTTATTTGGTAAATAGTTCAGCGCATCACATTAGCGCTTCGTTTCAACTCGAATATCCCGAAAGATCAATCGTTGTGGCGTTTTTTTTAGATAACAAAAAATTGCAGTTCTCTATTGATGTCTTGCAAGTGGAGAGGCAAATTGGGACCATGTGACAAACATTTCAAGCAAAGTTTATCACGGGACGGCTTGTGTTGTAGTTTCAATTACTACACTTCCCCAACGATAACCCCGAACAAGTAAGAAACACACATTGAACTTTGTAGGCCTGTTATTACTAAAGATTTACTTAAGGTTTACATGATATTCAGAGACTATAAAGAGAAAGGAATTTAAAGGAATTTAAACCCAAAAGACTTTCGGCTCACGTAAAGTAATAATAATTAAATAGAATAATTATGTCTAGCGCGCATAATTATGTCTTTCTCGCAATAAAAATGTTTCGAGCCTACAAACTTCAAAATTGAATTTTGTGTTTATCATACAAGTATGTATCATGTCAGCTTTTCGAATAATATAGATTCTTGCTATTAAAGAATCCACAAAACTGCCGCCTGCGGGTACGATACCGGTATGACCCTATTCTTGAATCCTGAACCTAATGATTATCACGCTTCGCTTATCGGATCATTCGGAATGAAGGTAATTCAATTCAACTTGTGTTTCGTCGTAATCACTTTCGTATTTATTTACATAATACCATATACAAAAGCGAGATAATATTCGAGGTAAATAAAATATACTAACTGCGTACGTATCGCGTATCTCGTACTAATTGTGTCCAAATATTCCATAGATTTGGAATGAAGGCCGATATTTCTGAAGTTTGTTCCTTCTTCCAAAATCCTTCCACATATTACCGGTTATCAGAAACGAAATTCAATAGAAATATATGTTGCATGTTACAGATCATGATACATTATTCGTTCGATTATCCGGATTACAACGCTGAAGTTCAATTAATACGACTAAATAGTCAACACTTCATGAGCGTCAACCCTGCGGAAATGTACTCGAAACCTGAAGTGAGGAATTTGGCTATTTCTACACGAAAGTGTATATTTAACGACGAAGCTGACCATGTGTATGGGCATGCTGTGGAGAGAAATTTGAGTTTCACTTCGTACACGTATCACAATTGTCTCGCGGAGTGCCGAGCCACTGTCGCAAGAGCGAAATGTGGATGCATACCTTTTTACTTTCCACAAAATAGTAAGTATAAAATACAAGCTACGACGTTTTCTGGTGTTAATTAATACTTGGTATTATTAGAAGGAAGACCGATTATCTCGGACAGACTTTCAGGCCTCTTTATACCTGTTAACTTTATATTATAATTCGCGCTATAATATAATATTAATATTACACGCGCTATAATATTACATTAATATTATATTAATATTTACATTTATAGGATAGTAAAATAAAGTAAATGTATTGTTTCACTTCAGGCTCCAGAATGTGTAATCTTAGGGATATTCAATGCTTACATAAATATAATTGTAAGTACGTAAATATGTAAATACACACGAACTATGTTTTAATTAAAATCTTAACATTTACCGGGTCAAATCTCATTTAACAGAATAATTAGCAAGAAGGAAGTATATCTTTTTGAATGCTAATCTGCCGATTTCATTTTTAGAAGTTCCTAGTTATATTCGTTTAATTTTAATTATAGCACACGTTAAAAGTATATCGTGATTTCTGTGTATCTGCTTCTTACAGCATTCATCGACACTTCATGGCCGGGATTTACTACAAATCTACCCTTTACGGTAGCTGATATCAAACAGTCGCCTTGCGGGTGCCTACCAGATTGCTCTCTATATCGTTATCCCATAGAGAACTCTTTTGGTCAGCTCGACTATTCTGTTTATTACAATAATGGCAGTTACACAAAGAATCCCAGGTAAATAAACATGGCAAATACGAAGCATCATGTTGCACGCTTTCTCATAATTGTAGGTGCTTTCATATAAACTTTGACCGATAAATTCTTATTCAATAAATTACACTTCATACGGCCTGAATTATTGACATTTTTTTACCTTTTTTTTCAAAAATATTCAACAACTTCCGTAAAAATTCACAATATTGTGTTATAATTAATTACGAAAATTCCAATTCATGTTGAATTATATTTAGTAATTTCTCGGTCATTTCGCATTCCCGCTAAATTCATCGCATTTTCAGCAAAATATTCCGATCAGGCAATTTCTCTGAAACACCCTGTATAACGTTATACGCGATGTTTTTGCAGTAACGCAATCAGTATACAGAATCACAGTGTGTTACACGTGTTCTTCAATGATTTGGTGGGCTTTCAATACCGACGTTCGGTCAATTATACCTGGCGCAATCTGTTCGGTAAGTCAAACGCAATCATGTAGAAGCTTGCGCAAAAATAACATCCGCTGATTTTCAGCATCATTTGGCGGCTTGCTCGGACTGTTCGCCGGATTCAGCCTCGTGTGTATCTTTGAGTTTCTGTATTTCTTCGTCATACGTGTGATAATCGACACATACATCAGCCCCACGAAGCACAACAATGTACAACACTAACGGTAACAGAAACAACTCACACAGCATAACGTTTCAAATCGGGACATAAGACATCTTAAAGACGTTTGTAAGTAAACCATCTTTCACACGTCTTACCTCCCGACTTTAGACGTTACGTTGTCTGGGAAGAGTTTGAAAATATATCATCGGACGCGGCAGGTTGTTAATTAACGCAAAAGAAGACGGCAGAATAGCGACGTTGTTGAGTACAATCGTACTACAGCAAAAACGTCATCATCGTTCAATTACCTTTCACGGCCGGTGAGAATCGGTAAGCATGCGCGTTCCTGCATATGTGACACGTACACCCGACGAACACAGAAAATAACTATTACACAACGCACGGGAGTAACGCGTATGACAATACGACGGCCGTCGGTTACGCCGATTGTTGTGCAGACTTTTATAGAGTCTTGAAGTTAGTACGGTTAGCCAAGGTAATGACGTGTGCCAGAGCAGCGAGGCTGGAGTGTTTAACACTTTATCTGCCTCCTCGATGTTATTAATGATACTCGCTGAGTCAGGCGTCAGGCGGAACGCGGGCGACGAGGCGGTGAGCGGCATCTTCAAAGTTTAATATCCGCATGAGCGGAGTCACTCCCGGCCGACCAGCCGTGGAGTCCTGCTATTCGTAGGACTCTCGTAGGACACGTCTCGGCGTTTCGTCCTCGGGCTGGTTTCGCCCTCGACATCCTTCAGACCGCTGGCGAATCGAGAGGCTACTTTATTTCGAATATCGGCTGCGAGAGATGGGAAACAGGCAGGCGAGTTATAAAAAAGAAGTGCGGCGCCACTCGCGAGGGGAAGGACGGCGAGAAAGTAAACGATCGTACGAAGTGAAGTCAACGGCCCACCGATGTCTTCGCGCTGTCGCGTCTGAGCTCGTTGTTTATATTTATCATTTACCGCGTGTTGGTCCACCTTGTTACGTCGGAAATAGAATCATATCTACTGTATGCAACAACTGTATTATATCACATTGAATATCTCTGAAATGTCAGAGTAGGGGAAAAATGTGTCGAAATAGAAATCGTACCGATACCTCAGTGATCACCTGCGGACACCTGTGAATATATTAACTTCTTTTCATCTTCGTTCACAGCCGTTAATAAAGTATTTTCATTTCTCGAAGATATTCTAGTGGGTGATTGTTATTGTCTCACCCTGTACATATCGTATGAAGTGAATACACTCTTTACGCGATATTTCGCATTTTATGTCGAAAAGTAGCGGAATAAAACCTGAAGTGAAACCTGAAATACCTCCGAAAATATTCGCTCACCGACGATCTCATCTTGCATGCGGATTAACAAGAGGGATCGATATACGTAAGAAAAATAGAAGCTATATGACACGGCTGGTTAATCCCAGTGATCGTAATCTAATACCACAAGGGTTGGTTCCAACATTCCGGCTGGTGGAGAAGAGGGCCCCCGTTAAACGCTACAAAACAATAACACCTTCGCACACCCCTCCGTCTGGTCATTTCTAGACACCGAATTCATGGGACGAACTAATGGAATTTTTCCTTTCTTTGCCGACTGTACGCGCTACGGAATTCGTCCACATTTTGTTTGACACGTACAACAAACGTATACTTGACAATATCAATTGTAATTTCGCACCTAAGAAACGAACCCGTAATAAAATTAGCACATCGTACAGGTGTTGATGTCATCGGGCATGTATCGCGGGACTGCTGAAAGAAATGTGCTCCACTGGCACGCGTTTTAATCGAGCCTACCCACTCGATGCGACATCCGCGATGCGGCAGGAACCCTTCGATTCTGTATACCTCGACGATAAAACCTCCTTTGCGTGGATTAGTTCGCTCAATCAGGAAATATACTCGGGGGTCTCCATAAAGTCTCCCCGTGTGCACGAGCCCCTATATATGTCCGCTATGTATCCACCCTCTTCCCTTCTATATACCTTTTCCTTCTTTCGCTCTCGTCGTATCGTCGAACCGCCGCGCTCTTCGATATATAACGCACTCGATGATGTACGAATAGAGACGATACTCCAAGTAACGTGAAAAAAAAGTAACAACCGCGGGCATATTTAGTAACAAATATATCGCCGTGCAATCGGACAAAAAGCGATTCCTCGTGAAGATGAAATTTCAAAGCGACCTTCAACTTTTGTCTGAAACTATTTATTTTTTTTTTTTTTCGAATAATGCGGTTCTCTGGAATATCTTAAGCGTTTGAAATAGGCCACCCTGTATGTAAATGACGTTTCCGTGTGTGTCGAGTATTCAAATCGCAGCGTTTGTGAGTACGTCGTACACAGACGTGAGAGAAGATGTGCGAAGAAAGAGAGGGGACAGCTTTTTCGACTCGCCCGCTATAAAACCGGATTTTTCTTAAATACGTATGGACCGTCTTCGATTTCGAGGGTATTTTCAAGTCTGGCGCGCTCAATGTGCCGCGAAATGTATCCCCTCTGTCCGGTGTAATACAGAGATGCTGTAGAGATGGGTACAAATCCCCGGAAAACTCTTCATATCTATAACCGCTTTTCTCTCTCGAATACCTACCTAATATCACCGCCTCGCGCGACGCGTATCTCGTCGCGTTCCGAAGTAATTTTAAGCAACTCACCATTCAACCCCCGCCACGCGACTGAGGATATCGCGATTCGAGGATATAGTCTTTTACGACACGAGATTTTTCGATTTCTCACTTGATTCGGCCGGGAAATGCTCGCTCAAATCTGTATCTTGCGATTCGCGAACGATGTGATGCCGCGTTGAGTTCGCAATTAAATTACCTAAGTACAACAGTATCAAAATCAGCAGAAATTTCTAAAGCACAAGCCAGAGAGGTACAATCAGTAATATTGTTTTACGTGGGAGAAGGTTAAATTAAAATAAATTTTTTTATTCACGATCACATACTCGACAAACATAAATCAAAGGTAATCAAAGGTTTACTTCTTGCCTCCCTTGTGTAAATTTATCATTTTTTCGAATATACTAAAAAACAGGCAAGAATAACTATCGTTCGGTCGCTAGATCGTAGTGATTAACGTTATTCGTTTGCCGTGAGAGATCTCTCATTGTATTCAGAATTATGTGCGATACAATGAGAACGCTTAAATTTCTAATTAGCTTACATAAGATACGTTTGCGACGGTATTTACGCTGAGCGTAAATTCGGGGAAAACTAGAGGCATTGCATCGAGTTGCCTGGTATCGGGATGTATCCTGATTTGGTTAGTTCTCTCGAGTGTGTTAGATCCGCCGGATCCCTCCAAGATTACCGTACCGTCTTATGGAAGCCTTGCCAGGAGCCGAGAATTCAGAACACGGTCTGGGCGGTACGCTCGTGCCGATCTTTTAATCGTAACTCGTGGCTGGATACTAAGCAAGCAGATCTATTTTATCGTTCCCGCGATAATACAGCGGCACTGAATTTTTACGACGAAGAGTGGGAGACGATAGGAAAACTCTTCAAGCGTTTCCGCTTGTTGAGTATAATAGTTTCTCATCGGATTTTCAATTATTCCGTACGTTATCCACGCAATACGTAATAAGGATGATATAATATAATAAAAAGGAATACGACTTAAAAGTAATGCGTCGTATATTTAAAAGATCACATCCCGTTTCGACATTTATATTATTTTAATTCTCCTTCGACTTCGAAAATGTTTGAAATAAGTGTTCGGAGCTTTCCCACTGAATATTGTCAATATAATCTTGAGGACAAATTATCTTGTGAAATATGACGGTCTTTTTAGAGGTGCGATGTAACAAGAAGGAAGTATTTGTAAGTGCCGATGGATGCTGGCATTGAAATGAAAGCCATTTACAAGCGATGGAATCCCCGTATGATATAAACGACACGTGGCCCGCATGAGAGAAAGAACGGAGAATATTCGGTGGAGAATTCGCGAGAAATTAGGCGTGAAATGCAGCCGTGTGCTTCGAATATTTCTGTCACGAGTAAGAACCCCCGGCCTTGCTAGTCGGTCTGCGAACTTGAATAATCCATCGACAGGGCTTGGTATTCACGGAGGAATCTCGCATCGTGTTTTTCATCTCTCGCGCGATTCATCCGCCCTCGCACGACAATACATCTGCGACTGTGATTGCGCATAAAAAAAGCTAAACCGAAGATGACAAGCGTCTCTTTTTTGTCGAATCTGTCTTTTACTTTTTCTAAATGACCATCACTTCTAATCCCGGTAATAGTTATCAAACATGGAAAGCGGGTGATAAGATAACTCTTGAATATCAGACGTAACGTCATGTACGTATTCAACCACTGCGGGTGAAACATTATTGAGCTCGAGCGTACTGTTTACCCCGCAATGAAAGAGATAACAATGGGAAAAATAGAAGATCAGATATTTTCAGATAAATATTGTAATAAAAACACTTTATCGAGAAAAGATCGCGCTTTCTCCCAACACTCGTCACTCAACACATCGCGAAAGGTTAAAGGTATGCACAATTCTAATGCATTCTTAAAAGCGTGCATCGATTGAGGATACACACAGGGTGTCTGTTTAAACAATAACGTTTCCTTTTTTTAACGCACGATAGCGCTCGATAACGTGGACGGAGTTAACAAGAAGGACGGAGAAGATTTAAATAATCATATATATCGAGAAGAGTAATAAATCCTTCGTACACATTTGGCCTTCCCAGCCACCCCAACTATTGCCTCCTATAGGCAGTAGGGTGGGATCGGTGATATATGTTTTTCCTATAACAGCCAGAATCAAAACAGCAATCCGCCCCATCTATAGCAATGTTTGTTCTTTCACCGGCGACCTCCATCGCGAATACTTGCCGGTATCGTTGCATTAACTACACATCAATTATCATGTACAATTGCGTAAAAGCATCGGATGACTAACTGAACATAATCACGGGATACAGAGAGAAGCGCGAAATGTTCGAAATAAAAAAAGAAGAGAGAGATAATGCGGAGGGAAATAATGTTGCTATTGCAGCGATCGGTGCGTCCCGGTGTGACGGCGGGATACCGTTCTTTCGGGTTTCGAGTGGAATATCGCCGCAAGAAATTGTGCAAGAACGCTTGGTGGAGGCGCCGGTCGCTCGAGTTACGATCGCGAAATATTTGAGGAAAGGCATTAAAGCGACGGTGCGCGCTGGACATTATTATAATTCGCGCTACGGCGCGACGTGCTGTATCTGGTCAGGGGCCGGTGAATACTGGCGCAGAGGAGATTACGGCGATGGCCGGACGCTGGCCACTTGACCGGTATTATAGATGTAATATCGTAAACAACGTCCCTCTCAGCTAGCTTGGGCGCGAGAGGACCGCTTTTATGCCCGGCACAAGTCATGACACCTCGCTCGTTGACTCGTGGCGCGCAGACCCTTTCGCCAGCGGTTACCGATGTTTACTGTTGAATATTCATTCTTTGGTCACGCGCCCGCGACATGTCCGGTGTCGCGGAGAACGCCGAGGATCCACACACCCATTATTCAGCTTCGCCGGCGGGCCAGCTCGCCACCGTGCGCGCTTAGCACAACAAACCCCCCTTTACCTCATTTTCTCGCGAATTATTTCCCGAGTACGCGCGCCGAATAATCCACGCGTTGTACGCGCGCGTCTTATTACGCCTCGCGTTAAGGTGAGCTTGCATTTTGCAACGAATCAGTGAACGCGTGTGCGTACATACGGGGGTGTCTGGATTAAGATCGTGACTGAAATACGAGTATTTTATAGTCCGGGTTAAGCCCAACCGAGGTTCCCAAACGTTCCGAATATGTCCGCGCTGCCGATTATATTTTATTATCGCTGTGCCGGCGTTAGTGAATGCTGGGCAAATCGGTCCGGATCAATACGTCACTTACGCGGACAAGCCGCAAGGCACTTCGAGAGAGGACATTTCAATCGTCCGCCCGAATAACGCGCATTCCCTCTTTTTCTCCTTCTTCCCTCCCGATCCGTTGATTTCCACGGGCACACGCGCGCTCACACACGCAGCCCGAAATTCATTAGGGGTATCTGATATTTCTGGTGGGTGCTTCGCGCTGGAATAAATCATACGTGCGGGCGGTCGGAAGCGTTTTGCCGGTACGCCGAGCTTCTTTCTCAGTGC